CAACACCATACACACACACACACACACAACACCATACACACACACACACACACACACACACACACATACACACACACACACACACCACATCTGGCCAGTGGTGGGCAGGGCTGTAAAGTATTGCCAGGGCGCCATGTTAAAGCCATAGGCACCCAGCCTTTTCCCCAAGGGTATTCTGATTCCATCCATCTGGGCAGGGTCCCCAAAACAGTAATTTCAGTAGCCTGAGGGAGCGTCATATTTAAAATTCACCCCCTGTGATCACCGGCTTTGAACCAGCCCAGGCCCTGCCTGCCAAGAAGGAGTGCTTTGATTTCCACATCACCCAGGCAGAAGGGCTCATCTTTCAAAGAACTTAAAATATAGTCACCTCTGGCTCTGCCTTTGACCTCGTATATGTTTGTGGTTGTTGATAAGGGAGATGAACGACTCAGAAAAGGCTGGCTTTTTTTCTCATTTTCGAAAGTGACATTTCTCATTTGGTGAGCGCTTACTACGTCATGTTAGTGAAAGTATGGCTTCCTGGAGTGCAGCAACCAAAACTCCGTGCGTCTGATTCCTCGATGATGTTCATTGCTGTGGCTTTTATAGAAACCAGCTGTCCGTGTCACCATTAGATGCTTTTGCATAGAGCACGTCTCATTAGACTTGGGTTCCATTCACGTGGCATCAGATGCAGGGACCTCATAACAGAGTGCTTGTAGAGGTCTTGACTGTGCTTATAATGCTTTAGTTTACATTATCGTATCTTTTGATCTTCACGGTAATCCTATAAGAGATAAGGACCTGTGTTTCATAGATAAGGGGAATCCAAGCAAGGAGATTATAGGAGGTCACACACTAATCAATGGCTGGCCGGGACTTCCCTTCTCCTGGACCTTGCTGCGTTTTTTCCAGTCTGGAGAAAACATCCCAGATCAATTAACTTTGAATTTCTTGAGAGGGCTCTTCTGGAATCATTTATAGTTTTAAAAGCACCAGGGGTGATTCTAATATGCAGCCGGGGTGGGAACCTTGTGTCTCTGCATTACAAAAGCAAGGAGGTCTTGTCCCAGCTAAACCTCTCTATCTGCATACCTCTCCAGGGTTTCAGAAATTTGATTTGACCTGCACATATCCATAAATATTATAACCTTAAGAGAACCAATTATGCCTTCTACAGCCTGCCTATTTTAGCCAGATCATTTTCCATTCGCTGCAGGACAAAGGTAAAAGCGTGAAACCAGGACACCCACATTTCAGTCCCAGCTCCGCTACTAACTTGCCGTGTGGCCGTGGGCCCGTTCTGTAACTTCCCGGAGCCCTCTTCTGTTTCCACCTTCCCATACCGACTTAGCTTCCAGC